CCCCAAAACCCCAAAACCCCAAAACCCCAAGATGATATATTCTGCTAAAAATTAATGTTTCTTAGAATTAAATTAACTATGAGATTGAAATTATTTCGATATCTATTGATTACTTTGCAGTTAATCTTATTATATTCTTAATCAATATAAGAATTTTTGCAATTTAGAATCTTTGAAATTTGCTGTTTCTGCAATTGTTGATTTGAGATTCTGACCAGTAGAATCTTCTTCTTTATCTGATTTTTCTGTACCTAGCACATCGTTGATGCTGTCGTTTCTTGAAAACTTGGAGAAATTTCTTCCCTTTAAAAACATTGACCTGTCGGTCTATCTTCTTGCTTCAGATCTTTTACCCTCTAATTCTTCCTTTTCCTTTTTGTCATTTAAAATATCGGGTAGCACATTTCCAAGGAAAAATATAAGACTAAATGATGCAGCGAAAATGGCGAAGTAGTCACAAGTAAGGGGCCAATCGCTATCGACGAGCTAATAAACCCAACTACCTAAGAGTGGAGCAACGATTAGTCCTAGTGAATAGAAAGATCCATAAAGTGCAGCGGCTTTATCACTAACAAGACCATCGAAGACTAAATCTTCTCCTTCGGTATACCCAGTTTTAATATATATGGAATCTATAACTTCGGGTAGAATGGGGATGAATAGAAAACCTTGAGCTATTCCTGATACAAAATATCCAATCAAAAAGATATACAAATCTTTTGGGAAGTCCAATAGTTATGAAGGACCCATTAGTAATATGGCAAAGGTATATACTAAGAATGTTGCGAATATAAATATTCTTCTAGGTATGTATTCGACGAAATAATTAACAGCTATTGAACTTATTATATAAGCAGCTGCTGGAAGAGCCAAAATCAAGCCGATATACTCAGAGGAAACATTCATTTAATCCGAGAGCACTACAGTTAAATAGCCTGATGAGTATGATGTCAGAATACAAATAATCCCACAACCAGTAAAAGCAAACAACGCTCTTCTGTTTGATAAGAACATCCAATATGTAACTTCTCTACCATTGCTTTAGACTTGCTCACCATTCTCATCTAAATTTTCTTCAACTCTATTTAGTGATGCAGGAAGTACAAAGAAACACAAAACGGTGGTAATTAAAATGATAAGTGAGAATATTATGAAGCACCAAAAGTATCCCAAATACGAATAAAGTAAACCACCAATTACTGGGCCAACCATAAGTCCAACACCAGCTGAAGCTTCTCCATATCCCAAGTATTTTTCTCTGTTCTCAGGGAAAATAGATGTCAGAATCGAATAGCCTATAGAAAGAAAGTTATAAATAGATCAAAATTAATTACATGAAGTTTACACTCCTATATCTCCTAATCCTTGCAATAATCTGACTACATTACAGATTCCAAAATACCACCAGTCATCCTCAATGAATGCAGTCAATGCCAAACCAATTGTGGATAAAACCTGGCAAGTATTAATAAATTTAATAATTTCTGTTACCATAATTACGAAACCGATGATAATAGAGTTTTTCTTGCCAATTCTTTCAAGCTAAACTCCAACGAGAGGAGCCAAGATAAAACATGCTAATTCCATAGTACTATATAATATTGTAAGATTATGATGATTTACATCATGATGACAGATGTGTGAGTTTCAGTCAGGCCTTTGTGATTATCATCTATGTAGGTCGGTAAAATACTCTCAATGTTCAAGAAAAAAAGCTGTATCGTAAATAGAGATGCAAGAACAGCAATCAATATGTTTTTCCTTTCTTTTAGAAGATCAGGCGGAACTTCAGGAAGCTTTTCTACTTATTATTCATCACTTTCCGCGTCCTATTATTTAGGTGAAAACGCCTCTATAATTAAGCATATTATGAAATATATGGTTACATGGACTTCTAACTAAAAGTGGATTCCCATAGTTAGGTTAGAAATCACTGTTATCACCGCCATTGATTGATATCCTAATAAGATGCTCTGATTTATGAGGATTTGGTCTCGCTATCTTATGCAATGAGTGCTTTTGAAATTCGGATTATCTCCAGGCAGATTAGCATCTAGACATAGGTTCAATAGAAGAAGCAACGGAAACTCTTGCCAGTCTAGACGATAAATTGTGTCTCTGACTTATTCTGAAATTTGCTTTCATTAAATTAAAGTTAGAATATATGTAATACTATAACCAGTGTCCTTATTATTATAAATAAATCTACTTAATATATCTTATAAATGATGAGCGAACCATATAATATCTATGCATTAATTTATTTCATTATATTATAAAGCTATGGGGTTTTGGGGTTTTGGGGTTTTGGGG